TCACAGCCTGCTTTTCAGGTCAGCCTTGCGGGCCAACCTGCTCTTCTTTGGCTCAAGAGTTTGGTCTGAAGTGTGTCAGGTAAAAGCATTCTGGGTGGTCGGTCTCATACTTCACCAAGGTGAGCAATTACATGAGGCTTCTCTTCCTTCCTCTCAGCCAGGATTTCCTGGGCCTGTCCCCTCTGTTGCCTTTGGCCTGTGCCCCTCAAACCTGAGCCCCAACTACTCTGGTTGTCCCTGCCTTGCTTCGTGCCCTAGAGATGCCAGCAGCACCCAGAACTTCTCGGAGAAAAGGAAGGTGGTGGCACAAGAGACTCCTGCTGGGGAGAGGAAGGCCAAGGGCTATTGCCTTTTAACATCACTAATGTGGGAGGCCATGTTACATGTGGTATCAGGGAAGGCCCTTGACTTTGCCAGTTACATTTTTTTTGTTTTTATATTTTATTTTTCTTAAATTTACAATTGTTTTTATCTTTTAATATATATTTTTATCAATTTCAGAGAAGAATGGAGAGGGAGAGATAGAAACATCAATGATGAGAGAGAATGAGTGAGATCATGTGGTATTTTTCTTTCATTGACTGGCTTATTTCACTTAGCATAATGCTCTCCAGTTCCATCCATGCTGTTGCAAATGGTAAGAATTCCTTCTTTTTTACAGCAGCGTAGTATTCCACTCTGTAGATGTACCACAGTTTTCTAATCCACTCATCTGCTGATGGGCATTTAGGCTGATTCCAAATCTTTGCTATGGTAAATTGTGCTGCTATGAACATAGGGATGCATATATCCTTTCTGATTGGTGTTTCTGGTTTCTTGGGATTGGTGTTTCTGGTTTCTTGGGATTGCAGAACGGACTTGAGAGGGAGAGAGAAATAGAAACATCAGTGATGAGAGAGCATCATTGATCGGCTGCCTCCTGCACGCCCCTTACTGGGTCAAATGGCAGCTCCATTTTTAACTTTTTGAGGAAACGCCATACTGTCTTCCGCAGTGGCCGCACCAGTCTGCATTCCCACCAGCAATGGAGGAGGGTTCCTTTTTCTCTGCATCCTAATTTATCTTTATTGTTGAAAGTATCCCATTCCCCCCTCTTGACTCCCTCCACCCAGCACCCACCCTTTATTGCCAATGATCGAAGCTTGTGTCTGAAGAAAAAAGATGTCAAGATATGGTTTGCCTGAGCCCAGCCACACAGCTCAGTAGTTGAGCACTGACCTATGCACCAGGTCTCAGCTCAATTCCCAGTCAGGACACAGGCTCTGGCTGCGGGCTCCATGCCCAGTGTGGGTTGCACAGGAGGCAGCTGATCAATGATTCTCTCATCACTGGTGTTTCTATCTCTCTCTCCCTCTCCCTTCCTCTCTGAAATCAATAAAAAGAATTTTTTTAAAAAAAAATATGGTTTGGCTGAGCAGAAGCAGTACTCATTACAGCCACCTGCTCAACTGCTTGCAGTGAAATAGCACGGATGTCGGTCATTCCACGTGAGTCCGTTAAATCTGTTGCAATCGAAAACAGCAATGAAGTCTATTTTCACATACTCAGCTTTCAAAACGCGTTCTATGTTTATACTGAATGCCATCACTATAAACAAATAAGGAACTTAAGTCATGATTCCTCCTTACAAAACTTTTATTAATGCCAGAAATGAAATAGTAAAAACACAATGAATTTTTTTTAACATCAGTATAATTGTGGGTACAAAGATGGTATGAATGGGGACTGAGGGGGCCTTGAGAAGAGAAAGCGGGCCTGTGGGGAGTCTTCAGTCTCAAGTCAGACCTAAAGGCATCGATTCGGTCGATCCTTGCTCCACAGACTGACTCCCACAGTCTCACTCCATGCCTTTGTAGCGGGCTGTGTGCTGGGCCTCAGGGCTCGTCCCTCCTCAAGAAAAACTTATCTCCCACTTGAGACCCTTCACAACTCCCGATCCGGAGGAATTTCCTAACAAAACAAGTTCCTAACAAAACAAACAAACAAGGAACTGCGGGAAACAATGTGGGATTAATTGCCGCACTGTCCCATTCCGTTGATTCCCAAGTCTTCTAGAAGGAGCACCCTGCACAGTGTACAGGCGTGCCGTGTGCACTTGACTTGGAATGGAATCTGGGATGATTTCTGTGGGAAAAAAAAATCTCAGAGGTCACAGTTTGATTCCTGGTCAGGGCACATGCCCGGGTTGTGGGCTCAATTCCCCAGTAGAGGGGCGTGCAGGAGGCAGCCGATCAATGATGCTCTCTCATCACTGATGTTTCTATGTCTCTCTCCCTCTCAAGTCCTGTCTGAAATCAAAAATATAAAAACTAGCCTGCTATATTGGTTAAATGTTTAACTCAGCCCTAATGCCTTGGCAGGGCCAGACCAAATGATTTGGCGGGCCTTATATGGCCCGCAGGCCAGACGTTCCCCACCCCTGCTCTATGGGAACTGGCAATCAGCAGCCCTGGATTCTTGCCTGAAGCTCTGCGCCTCTTTGCAAGTCACAGAGAAGAAGGCGGCTCTTTAGAGGCTCCAGCCTCCCTGTGTGATGAGCTGGCCACAGGGTGAGAGGAGCCCTGTTGTTGCTCTGTCTGGGCTAAGGACTCAACTCAGCTAAAGAACGTGGCAGGCCCAGGTGGTGTGGCTCAGTGGTTGAGTGCTGACCTATGAACCAGGAGACCATGGTTCCATTCCCAGTCAGGGCATGTGCCCAGGTTGCAGGCTCCATCCCCAGTGTGGAGTGTGCAGGAAGCAGCCGATGGATGATTTTCATCATTGATGTTCCTATCTCTCTCTCCTTCTCCCTTCCTCTCTGAAATCAATACAAAATTAAAAAAAAAGATAAAAAAAGAGAGAGAACTCGGCACTTCGCCCCACGTTGCTCCAGGAAGAAAATGATGTTACCAGATCCTGCTGCTTTTAACATCAAAATTACTTCTTTTATGATCTAAAAACACACACAAGACTTTGGCATTTACTTACCGGCAGGGAATTCTGAAACCCCAAAACCACGCAGCAAAGCCTACAGCTGCCCTGCGTAACCCTGTCATAGACCTGCCTGCCTATTGGGTCTATCCCTCATACAGAGGAAACGTTTGTCAGTGAAAATGTTGCAGAAACTGCTTCATTCCCAGTTGTTGCGAATATCTTCTGGCCACAGGTGCTCGGAAGGATGAGGAAGGGGCATTAAGTCAAGCCCCACACCCGAGTGTGACCTTCGTCTGAGTGCCCTGGACCTCGGTACCCCACAAAGCAGAGGGGAAAACGAGCCAGGAAACGTGAGAGTGCAGCTCATTGTTTTTGTTTGTTTGTGTGTTTTTTTCCTAATCGTAACTCTATCACGGAAAAGCATAAGGTAGCCAGGGACAATTTGTGCCTTCCCAAAGTGGCGAAAATTCTTCCACCAGCGTTAGCCAGCTTCCGGGAAACACATGGCAAGGGGACCGTGCAATCCAAGAACGGATTTTGCACTGGTCAAAGTCAGGAGGTATTTCTCATGGTAATTACTGCTTATGTTAGAGTTCCCCATTTGAAACCTTGGCTGGACACACACACCTTTCAAGTATAAAAGCACCTGCTCAAAAGCCTATGAAAGGGAGAGGAGATGATGACTCATCTCAGGTCCTGTGCATGCTTCCCACTTGTCTCAAGTTTGACCAAACTGATCAATTCCATCAAAATCCTCAGAGTCGCCCTCGCTGGTTTGGCTCAGTGGATAGAGCGTCGGCCTGCAGACTGAAGGGTCCCAGGTTCCATTCCGGTCAAGGGCACATGCCCGGGTTGCAGGCTCGATCCCCAGTGCGGGGCATGCAGGAGGCAGCTGATCAATGATTCTCTCTCATCATGGATGTTTCTGTATCTCTCTCCCCCCTCTCCTTTCCTCTCTGAAATCAATATATATATATTGATTTATATATGTATATAAATCTTCTATATATATTGATTTCAGAGAGTCAGTGTGAGATGGTAGAATGAACCTGCAATGGGCAGCCTGGCCAACTCTATTTAAACCCGACTCTGTGTCTCGGCTCCATGAGTGATCATGGGCAAAGTGCACCCTCCTCTGGTCCTCAGTTTGCTTTTCTTCAAGTGGGAGCAACAATTTCCGCCAACCTGAGCTTCTGGGGACTTTTAGGGGGAAGAGGCGATGGTGCACGTGAAAACATGCCGGAAACAGGTCAACAGCAACGGAATACCCGGCCACAGGTAGCTGCTTAAACCATGACGTCCTCAGAGCCACTGGTGTCATCTGATATGGACACCGCAGAGCCCAGGAATCCTTGCCTCATCACTTAAATTGTCTTTCTTTGGGGAATAACAATGATCTATCTGCTGGAGTCTATGGAGTAAGGAGTGCAGATTCTCCCACCATTGCTGGCTTGATCTCTTCAGCCATGTCCTCGGGAGCTAGGACAAGATGGTCTCCAGGGTCTTCTCTGCTGGGAAAATGTATCATTTCAGTGGAAGCATGGGAGAGAGGTTAATTTCAGGTATTGGAGTCAAATGATGTCTTCCTGTCAGTTAGGAATACTGGCTTCGATCTGCACTCCAAATCCTCCATTGGAGAGATTTGTCACCAAACTCTCGGAAAATAGTCTCTTGAGTCTTGTTTTTATTGTTCCTACCCTGTTGAGTGAATGAAGTTTTCTCCATCCCAGTCCATGGCTGTGCAATCCACCATCTCCGGGCATCTTGTGACTGTGGAGCCAGCTCTTAGAATCCCTGAGGCTCTGGGCACGGGCCGGTGTGGCCAGAGGAGGAAACTTCTGCGGCAGGTGGTGGTGGGTGTGGGGGCTGGACTCCATCACAGCCCCCTCTGGGAGGACGCTGCTTCCTTCTTCTCCCCGTCGAATGTACACAGACAGATCCTCTCTCCCAAGGGTTCTTGCCAAGCCCACGGACATTACACATTCTCTCTGCATCTTGACCTGTGGTTGAACATCGGTGTGATTGTAGTGAAAACACTCAAAGCCAGCCCCACACTTCCCTGTGTCACACAGGTCCAAGCCCACAGCTTACACTTTGGACTGCCTCTCGTCGGTCCACTCCTGCTTTGTGTTCTGGAGAGCTTGCGTCTTCTGCTCATCCACCTGGACATAGTCTACTCTTTGCTCTTCTGAAAGGAGAAGTTTCTGAAGGGGGAGAACAAAAAGGTTTTCATTACATTCCATTAAACATTCAGGAAAAGGTCAGTCCTTCCACGGAATATTACAGTGTTAAGTATTTGCTGCCCCTTCTTTCTGGGTCATTCTCTGCAGAGGCGTTATTATATCTTGTGTATGCATATGAATAGTTCTTCACCTCTGCTCCCTTCAACTTTGCTCTAGCCCCGTGGTCGGTAAACTACGGCTCACGAGCCACATGCGGCTCTTTGGCCCCTTGAGTGTGGCTCTTCCTAAGCCTTAGGAGTATGCTAATTATGCTAATAACAATGTACCTACCTATATAGTTTAAGTTTAAAAAATTTGGCTCTCAAAAGAAATTTCAATCGTTGTATTGTTGCTATTTGGCTCTGTTGACTAATGAGTTTGCAGACCACTGCTCTAGCCATTTGACTTGCTTTGACTAATATAATGTGAGTGCAAGTGACACGTGCCAATCCTGTAGAGCAGGGGTGGGGAACGTCTGGCCCGTGGGCCATATAAGGCCCGTGAAATCATTTGGTCTGGCCCTGCCAAGGCATTAAAGGTGAGTTAACTAAATGTTTGACCAAATATAGCAGGCTAATTTTCAAGGTGATAATTTTGTATGGCCCGAGAATGGTGTTATAAATATCCAAATAGCCCTTGGAGGAAAAAAAAGGTTCCCCACCCCTGCTAGGGAAAAGAGGCATCCTGTGATTCTGCAGTCTCTCCTTTTCCCCTGCCAGGAGATCAGCTTGCCTCAGCTGGAGTTGCTCCTTCTGCCTGGGCCCTGGATTGAAGACGACCCAGAATACCAGTAGTGGATTGTCCCATTAGCCACAACTGAAAAAGCCTTTTCTTTTGCAAGACACTGGGATTTGGGGGATGTTTGTCTTGACTGAATAGCCTACCAAAACTGACTAATGCATCTTTTTTACTTATTGGTCTCACCTTTCTGACCAGCTTTTCTGGAATATCAGTTCAGGTTTTTGGAATGAAATTAGAGGTAAAGAAGAAATGGGAGTTCATCCCGCAAAAGGAAAGGAAAGTCTTACAGGCTTTTCTCCCCCTACACACACACACACACACACACACACACACACACACACACACAAATCATACTGTATATCCTGTTTGGCAGGTTGCTTTTCTCATCAAACAATACACTGTTAAGCACAGTTTAGATTAAGACCACCCCTTGATTGAAAATGATTGAAAATATTCAGTTGTTGTCCACTGCTTACCATTCGTTCATTCCATGGTTTACACTAGTTACACAGGCAACACTAGTTCATGGGCAACACTAGTTCATGGGCAACACTATGTTAATGGCTAATGTCGCTTATATATACTTATTCATTTAATCCTCCCCACAGGCATCAATGCATGTGTTATACTTTCTGATCCCCGTATTACAGACTAGAATACTACCCAAAAGAGTTGAAACTGTCCAACCTGGCCTTTGAGTCCCTTTACTGAGGGATTCCAATTCCAACTGAGACCTCCTGTCACCAATCCCCAGCCTAGCCACACTAGACCATGACTCCTCTTCTAAGCAGACCTTTCCAATGCCTGAAGTGCCCTCTACCTCACCCTCATCTCTGCCAGAGAATTTTTTTCCATAAGCTTTATGGTCCAAGTTTTAAAGAGTACGAATACTACAAACATGTGTATGTATACAGGCCGACCTTGAAGATATTGCAGGTTCAGTTTCAAAACACTGCAAGAAAGTGAGTATCGCCATAAAGCGGGTTGTAATCTTTTTGCTGTTGAAAGGCCTTGCCTAAAACACAACATCTGTGGAGAACAAAAAAGTGAAGTGCAATAACACCAGGTCTGCCTAGCACTAGCTGGTTTGGCTCAGTGGATAGAGCGTCGGCCTGCAGACTGAAGGGTCACATGCCTGGGTTGTGGGCTCGATTCTCAGTAGGGGGCGTGCAAGAGGCAGCCAATCAATGATTCTCTCTCATCACTGATGTTTCTATCCCCCTCTCCCTCTCTGAAATCAATACACACACACACACACACACACACACACACACACACACACACACACATATACAGGTCTGCCTATACATCCAAAGAACATAACCTAGAGGGAATACTGCAGTATTTCTGGGAGGCAGAATCAGGGTTGGTTTTAATATTCTTCACTATACATGTCTATATGCTTAAAACTTTTGAAAGAGAACACGCATGGTTGAATTATCAGAAAAATCTAAACAGAAATGAAATCTGGGAATTCTCAGACATAAAGTCCTTCCTACCTGCTGTACAGGAGCTGGTGACGCTGAATTGAAGTCCAGGGCTAAGTAATCCAGGCTGAATTTCTTTGTCCACATCACAGAACCACCGCTCAGGGAGTTGCCTGTTCGGTGTTCCTCCTAGGAACCAACATCACAGACTCAGGTTAACAATGTCTGGCTGGGCTGCCCAAGGGAAGGAGGGGGAGCCATGTCTTCACTTGAGCAGCTGCCATCAGATCATAACAGACTAGTCTGATGAGCCCTGTGCAGCTCATCTTGCATGTCAGAGTGATAGGAGGCATTTGAAATAAAAAAAATAGCCAATCCAGTCTTCACATGAAGCTATCCCTTTATTCACCATGAAAACAGTTGACCAGGCCCAGCCAGTGTGGCTAAGTGGTTTGAGCATCAACCGATGAACCAGGAGGTCATGGTTCGATTCCCAGTAGGGGGCGTGCAGGAGACAGCCAATCAATGATTCTCTCTCATCCTTGATGTTCCTTTCTCTCTCCCTCTCCCTTCCTCTCTGAAATCAACAAAAAAATAAATTTAAAAAAAAAACAGCCAGAATCTCCCCCAAGAAGTATTTGTTTTATGGACCTGATGGGCCCACGATACCTTAGAGATTAAATCCTGAAAAGATCAACCACACTTACTAAAGTTCTAGTAAAGTCACCCCAAATGCACTTAGATACTTTTATGATACAATGATAACATGGATGTAACACTCACCCACGGACTTACCACCAGCTTCACAAATGGAATACTACCAATAACCATGAAGCGCCTATTCCCACTCACACCTCCTTCTCTCCCCCCAAGAGGTTAAGCACTATCTTGAATTTGGTGTTTCCCACTCCTTTTCTTTTTAAATATGGTTTTATGAGTGTTTAAGTACTATCCTTAAATCACATATTATTTACTGGTAGTTTTGCCTGTTTTGAACTTCTATCAATACAACCATACGGTATGTATTTTTGGTGGCTTCCATTTTGGTTTCATATTGCATACTTCGCATTCACCCATGTCGATGCAATAGCCCTATTTCATTCATTTTCCTTGGGATAGATGATTCCACTGCATGATTTAACTGTTTCACTACCAATGACATTTGAGTTGCTTCCAGTTATAAGCAACGGTGCCATGAGCATTCGTGCACCTGCAGGAAAATTTCTATCCAACAAAGTATTGGAAAGCAATTAGGCAAGAAAAAGAAATGAGAGGCATCCAAACTGGGAAAGAAGAAGCAAAGTAACCTGTTTGCTGATAACATGGTCTTATATTTAGAAAACTCTAAAGATTCCACTCAAAATAATAATAAACTCAGCAAGGAGACAAGATCAACACCATAAATTTGAATGCATTTCTATACACTAATAATGAGCAACCTGAAAAGGAAATTAAGAAAAGCACTTAATTTACAATAGTATCAAAAAGAATAAAATATTTAGGAATACATTTAGCCAATGGGACAGGCTTATACACTGAAAACTACAAAATATTGCTGAAAGAAAGTTGAGCACACATAAATAAATGGAAAGACACCTATATTCATGGATTGGAGGGTAGGAAGGTTTAATTATTAAGATTACAACATTAGCCAAAGCAACCCATATTAGACACATCACACACATTAGGATGGCCATTATACAAAACCAACAAACAAAAAATGGGAATAACAAGTGTTGGTGAGGATGCAGAGAAATTGCAACCATTTTGCATAGTTGTTGGGAATATAAAATGGTTTGGCCACTGGAAAACGGTTTGGTGGTTCCTCAAAAATTATGCATAAATTATCATGGGATTCAGCAATTCCACCTCTAGGTATATATCTGAAAGAATCGAAAGCCGAGATCCAAACAGATGCTTGTACACCAATGTTCACAGCAGCATCTATATATATAAAAGGCTAATATGCAAAGTGTCCCTTTAGGAGTTCGATTACTCGCTATGATGTGTGCTGACCACCAGGGGGCGGCACAGAACAAAGGAAGGCCCAGCTGGCAGCCGGGGAAGTAAGGCCCCAATCGGCCCTGATTGTTGGCCAGGCCTAGGGACCCTACCCGTGCAAGAATTTCATGCACTGGGCCTCTAGTTATTCATAATAGCCAACTGGTAGAAACAACCCAATTGTCTACCAACAGATGAATAGATAGACAATAAGTGGTGTGTGCATACAATGGATTATTAGCCCTAAAAACTGAAATTCTGATACATGCTGCAGTAGGGATGGGTCTTGAAAATATGTTAAATGAAAGAAGGCAGACACTAAAGGACAATGTTGTGTAATTCCGCTTATATGAGGTACCTAGAATAGGCAAATGTACAAAGACAGAAAGTAGAATAGAGGTTACCAGGGGCTCACTGGTCTTTCTCACAAACTCAAAGATCAGAAATGAACTGCTAGTGCCTGGAATGCCTATGCACTTGCTTCTATTTTGTTATAGATTCACTTCCCTTTTCTGTTCTCTGGAGACAGAGCACAGCTGGTCCAGCATCCTTTCTTTATAAGAGTGTTTTCTTCTACAAGTTTCCCAAGGGCCATTACTAAGTGTGAAAAACATTGGGAAGATCACAGCACATTTGTATATGAGTCACTTTCCATCTGCATACGGTTAAGTGCACTTACAGCGCAATTTTTATCAAACAGAAAGGCAAAATAAAGCCTTTAATTGCTGCTTCACTGGAGATTACTGTTTCCAGATTCTGAATTGCCTATTATCCTCATGTATAGGAGGGCAGAACTGTCTTCTCAAAAGTATATAAAGCGCCTGGCTGGCATAGTTCAGTGGTTGAGCCTCGAACTATGAACCAGGAGGTCACGGTTCGATTCCCAGTTTGATTCCTGGTCAGGGCACATACGTGGGTTGCGAGCTCCATCCCCAGTAGGGGGTGGGCAGGAGGCAGGCGATCAATGATCCTCTCTTATCATTGATGTTTCTATCTCTCTCTCCCTCTCCCTTCTTCTCTGAGATCAATAAAATATATATATTTTTAAAAGTATATAAAGTCACATTGCCTTGAACATTGCCCAAGATCCCTTTTCAAAATTTCATAGTTCAAACAGAGATTCTCACTAGAGAATATCTCTAGAGTTCCTACATTTTACTTTATTTTTAAAATTTATTGATTGTCGACAATATTACAGGTGTTCCCCTATTTCCTCCCACCTCTTCCCCCCACTACCCAGGCTCCACCCCGCCCCAGGCCTTCCCCACACTATACGCATATGTTCTTCGGTTAATCTTTTTAAAATTGTGGAATGGGCACAGTTCCGGGTAAAGGGCCTGATAATTGTCAGAGGTGCTAAAAGCCCCTTCCTCTCTTCAAAACCCATGCTCTCAAATAGAATCCAAGCTAAAGTGAATAGAAGGGATATGAGAGGGCAGGAGGGAGAGGTTAGGACAAGAACTGTAAATGGTTCATCAAAGGACAGAAATGTCAGGCCCCTAGCCCCGGCCGGTGTGGCTCAGTGGTTGAGCGTCGACCTATGAACCAGGAGATCATGGTTCAATTCCTGGTCAGGACACATGCCTGGGTTGCGAACTTGATCCCCAGTGGAGGGAGTGCAGGAGGCAGCCTATCGATGTTTCTCTCTCATCACTGATATTTCTATCTCTCTCTCCTCTCTTTCTCTCAAATAAATAAAATATACAGTGGGGCCTTGACTTATGAGTGTCCCGACTAACGAGTTTTTCGAGATACGAGCCGTCTCTCGGCCAATTTTTTGCTTTGAGTTGCAAGCTAAAATTCGGGTTACGAGCCAGCTTCAGATACCCCACCGCTAGTTGGCGCAGCGAACGTCACAGTGAACGCCACAACATTAGCCCAGCATCACGTGTCTCACTCGTTCACAATTGATTTGACATACCAGTAATTTGAGTTACGAGCTCCGTCACGGAACGAATTAAACTCGTAAGTCAAGGCCCCACTGTATTTTAAAAAAGACATGTCAGGTCTCTATCCACTCATGTCTACAGAAAGACCCCTATAACAGGAGTCTCCGGAGAGTAAGACACATGCAAAGCCCCAGGGCAAGCCCGCACTATACCACCAACGCTGATTCATCCTTTGGAAGGTTGAGGGGCAGTCAGGTGGAGGGAACCATCCAATGTGGGAGTTTGCACAGCTTAGATTCTGGATATCCAGGGAACTACCAACCTAGTGGGGTCAAACAGAATATCACAACCCTGGTGAAAAGAATGACTGACATTGCCATTTTCCCATTACACATGCCTAAACCCTGGGTACTCTTGAAATACAGTGGCCTCAAAATGGTACAAGGAACTGAATATCGCAGGGAAAAATACCACCTTCCAATCAACTTGTTCGCAGCCTACAAAACACTGCAACCTATTACAACTAAGTGACTGTATGAAGATTGTATGGGGCTTTCTGAAGTGTATGTTTTCTTTCTAACACACTCGTAAGAATATAGATTGGAGTGAAGAATAAGAAGAGTATGAAAAATATAGGATTACCATCTGGATGTAGCTTTCTTCCTCTTCTCTGGAAACAGAATTGGCAAAAAATCTTGCAGAATTAATACCGTTTCTTCCTGGAGAGAGAAAGCTGGTCCGATTGCTAAGAACAAAAATATAGATGAGGTCAAAGCAATGTCTTACAGCTGCTCTGAAAGCCAGCCAGGAACTGACATGGCCCCTGTGGGGTTTCAGCCCTCCCCTTCCAGATACAACTTCCTTCCGGCCAAAGCAATTCTTAAAGCAGTAGAGACTGCCCAGCAGCTTCTGTCCTACTCTGGGGCAAATGACTCCCAATTCTCAAAGGCTACTTTTTTTCCAGGCCCTCCTCGTGACACAGCTCATGAGCTTTCTAGAAACAGACCAAGGCATCAGATCATTTAGGAAAAAACCCACTACTCCTTTGGGGCTCTCTTATTTCCATTCAAAATAACCAGGAGTCCGGTCAGTGTGGTTCAGTGGTTGAGCGTCGACCTATGAACCAGGAGGTCACGTTTCGATTCCCGGTCAGGGCTCATGCCCGGGTGGCATGCTTGATCCCCAGTGTGGGGCATGCAGGAGGCAACCGATCCATGATTCTCTCTCATCATTGATGTTTCTCTCTCTTTCCCTCTCCCTTCCTCTCTGAAACCAATAAACATCTATTTAAAAAGAAAAGAGCCTATCTTTGCTGATACTGGACTTGTAGCATGCAAATAAGGCCCGGATGTACAGTGCAGCTATTTGTGGCCATGAGGATTGTGCAACAAAGAAGAGTTCTCCAAAGAAAGAGGAACGAGCAAATGTGAAGGAAGAAGTAAACGTGAGAGATGGAGAGAGATTCCTCGGGTTCCCGACAGCAGTCTCCTTCCTGATTCCAGTATCTTGAGACGCTGTTATATCCCTTCCTTTGTGACCTACAATCACTTCTGGCTTGTGATTAGGAACCACGTCTCTTCTTTTGCTTGAGCTACATCAAGTGGGCTCCAACTACATTCAATGGAAGAGGCCTAACACTAAGACTGGGGGTGTCTGTGCGAGTGAGGCCCCTTTGAGCAATCAGAGACTTACCAAGGCACAGTGTGGGTCCTGGTTAGACAGGCATGTTCCCGGATGGTAGAGAGGTTTCTCAGATCTAGCGGAGGTGGCCGTGCTACAAGATAACACACAGTATCCACGAGGGTAAGTTCTCAGGAGTTCAAGGCCAGAATCTAAAGACTATAAAACTCTGACACTGCACTTAGCTAGCACATCAAACGCAAATTTACTAAGCAGCACCGATGACAAATGTGAATTTCACTGTCCTACTCTTTCCTGCCTCACTGGGAATAGAGAGAGGACAAGTACTGAGCAAATGGTCACATGACCAGCTGGAGGTAACAATGAGGCAATACATTTAGTCAATATGCACTTAATAAGGACTCATTATACTATGTCAGGTGTGGTTCTAAGTCAGGAGTGGGGAACCTTTTTTTCCGCCAAGGGCCATTTGGATATTCATAAAAGCATTCATGGGCCATACAAAATTATCAACTTAAAAATTAGCCCCGCAGTGTGGTTCAGTGGTTGAGTGTTGACCTATGAACCAGGAGGTCACGATTCAATTCCCAGTCAGGGCACATGCCCGGGTTGTGGGCTCGATCCCCAGTGTGGGGCGTGCAGGAGGCAGCCGATCCATGATTCTCTCTCATCATTGATGTTTCTATCTCTCCCTCTCGCTTCCTCTCTGAAATCAATAAAAAAATATTTTTTTAAATTAAATAAAATTTTAAATTCAGTTTCTCAGTTGCACTAGCCACACAAAGTTCTGTTGGACAGCATTGCTATAGAAAATTAACCGAACAAAAGAATAATGTCTACCTCAAAGTTACAGGTCCCTGCTAAATAGTTTCTGACCAGAATGAATGGTTATTTCCTCTGAACCTCTTAAGACAGGGTCTGTTCTCCTATTTAGTACAGACTTCATAATTCTTCTTCTTCTTCCAGATGTTTTTTATATCTTCTTTCCTCTCAGACTGAAGAACCCTCCTTGCTTCCTCATCTTTGCATCCCACCCCGTGCCCAGAACAGCACTATCCACACTGTGAATGTGATTTGACTCAAATTGAATGGGTGAGACTGGAAGGGACCAGACATGAGTAGGGATTTAGTTACCAGCTTTGGGCACGGCGCTGAAGAGTAGTTTTCCAAAGG